GCGATGGTGATTGATCGAGTTCCACTTGACCGTGGCGTGAACTCAGCCACTTGCGGCTGGTCGGGGTTGGGGTTCTGTCGCTTGAACTTCTGCACGTGCCCTTTGAGTAGCCCTTACCAACGCGGTCCCTACTCATATTTATACATATCAAAACAATCGTGATGAATTTAGCGAAGTTCAACTGCTATTGTCTTCTTGTTGTTGTTGAGCGTACTTAATCGTGTGAATACGAAAGGAAGGCGATTGATTGCAGAGGCTCTCAGTGTCAGTAGAGAGGAGGCGGAGGCACCCTCGATAATCATTAACCCTTGCGACTGCGTGCGAATTCTGAAGGAGTTGCGAGAATTGTTTCGATGCGCCGCAGTGGGTTAACACGACGCGCGTGCCCTTCGTCGACGTCTGAGTCGTATAATGACAAGACGAGATATTGAAGCACGCGCCTGCTTCTGTTGTGTGTGCCAGCATGTGTAATGGTGTGTGCCAGCATGTGTAATGGTGTGTGGGAGCGCGCGTTTGTCGCAGCCGGTCCACCAACTCAGCCGTAGCTGAGTCGTGTTCGATTCCTAGTGCAACAACACCAGCGGGAGGGGGCGGTGCAAACAAATGGTCCTTGCGCATCAGCAGTGAGACAAAGACGGATGGGCCCGCGTGAAAGCGGCTCCCATGCAACGTCAGTGTCGTGGAGGTCTCAGTAGGCGCTCACCAACAGCACGAGTGGTTAGCACACTGCGCTCATAGTCCCGAGCCGAGTTCGAGTCGCGGCCATGGCTGGCAAACTTCGCGGTGAGTGACACCTGGACCGGTTCCAGCATGGCGAGGTCTCACCACACCACTCGCACTGTCACCATGGTGAGGTCTCACCACACCACTCGCATTGTCACCATGGCGAGGTCTCACCACACCACTCGTACTGTCACCATGACGAAGTCTCACCACACCACTCGCACTGTCACCATGGCGAGGTCTCACCACACGACTCACACTGTCACCATGGCGAGGTCTCACCACACCACTCGTACTGTCCCCATGGCGAGGTCTCACCACACCACTCGCACTGTCACCATGGCGAGGTCTCACCACACGACTCACACTGTCACCATGGCGAGGTCTCACCACACCACTCGTACTGTCCCCATGGCGAGGTCTCACCACACCACTCACACTGTCACCATGGCGAGGTCTCACCACACCACTCGCACTGTCACCATGGCGAGGTCTCACCACACCACTCACACTGTCACCATGGCGAGGTCTCACCACACCACTCGCACTGTCACCATGGCGAGGTCTCACCACACCACTCGCGCTGTCACCATGGCGAGGTCTCACCACACCACTCGTACTGTCACCATTGTGAGGTCTCACAACACCACTCGTACTGTCACCATGGCGAGGTCTCACAACACCACTCACACTGTCACCATGGCGAGGTCTCACCACACCACTCGCACTGTCACCATGGCGAGGTCTCACCACACCACTCGCGCTGTCACCATGGCGAGGTCTCACCACACCACTCGTACTGTCACCATTGTGAGGTCTCACAACACCACTCGTACTGTCACCATGGCGAGGTCTCACCACACCACTCGTACTGTCACCATGGCGAGGTCTCACCACACCACTCGCACTGTCACCCTGGCGAGGTCTCACCACACCACTCGTACTGTCACCATGGCGAGGTCTCACCACACCACTCGCACTGTCACCATGGCGAGGTCTCAACACACCACTCGTACTGTCACCATGGCGAGGTCTCACCACACCACTCGTACTGTCACCCTGGCGAGGTCTCACCACACCACTCGTACTGTCACCATGGCAGTGTGGGGAAGCCTTCATGCAGTATTTGGTTGACAGGGGGCTGGTAGCGCAGTACTTCACAGTACTTAACAGTACTTGACAGTACTTGACAGTACTTAACAATACTTAACTGGATAGTTTGCGAGTCTAAATTATGGCGTTTTAGTTTCTTTATTCATCCGTGATCATACAACCGCGCTCGTCACGAGCACTCCCTTAAATATATAATCGGCGACGTTTCGTGCAATGGCCCTTCTTCAGATGTTATGTTAATTGTGTTTGTGCACCAAGAAGTTGGTCATCCACGTGGTGCATTGTGGTATATATATGTCTGTTTTACTGCACAGACAGAATTCGGAATCATATCAAGGATGCGCATTGAACACAAATACTCATGGCAGCCTCTGCACCGCTGTGAGCTGGGAGGGCTGCGGTGCCAGGGTTCGCGATGACAAACTGAGGAAGAGACGCCAAGTCAGATGTAATCCGTGGTGGGAACTCCACGCACTTTGATATGCGACGCGCTGTCTCCACTCACTCAGCCAGCGTGTCAGGGACGCCTCGTCCTTCCACGCGTGCATCTCGCGACGATGATCGTTGAAAGCTGTCGCTGTTGTCTGAAGACACCAGACTTTCCTGCACGCGCCACAAAAAACACCTCCACTTCGACTGTAATCGTTATCGTGTTTTTTTTTAAACAAAATATCGTCAACTCCGTAACGTGCTATTATATGCGACCATCCAGGACAACCTGGACATCGACTGGCGCCGATATCACAACCGCCGTTCGGTCACCACGTGGCGGTGACGCACGCTACGGCCGTTGTGCCAGGCTACGTGCACATTGAGGCCGCGTATACCGCTGCATATACAGTCGATCAAAATCAAATAGATCGCTAAAAGACAACCGTCACAGCCTGTGGTGGGTTTAGTGCTGTTATCGAACGTTCCCAAAAATGCCAAATATGACGTCACGCGAGTAGGTGTGGGGATGTAAACCACACACACACACACGCCTGGCCGCCTGTGTCTCTCAATTCCTATGTTGCGACCACAACACTGCACTGGGACCTCACGTACGCCGAGTTCACCGGAGGTAGACCAATTCCAGCCCCGCGTATGATCGAGATACCGGAATGCAATCACGAGCAGCAACGAGACCGGGTGGCCGGAATCTTAGCGCATGAGACAGCTCGTTGCGCGATGGCCACACACACTCACACACATAGGTGCGATGTTATCACACAGACACGCACACGCGCGCACACCCACAACCAAGTCATCGATGTCTGCCTCTGCGTGAACTTTCTCTCGTCCGGCGACGTCTAAACCTCGACCCGGGCAGCGATCCCCATGCACGCGGAGATCGCCGGCCGGGTTATGCGGTCATTTCATTCTCATCAGACCCCTTGCTTGGCAAATGAGAGTCCTCAACCCGTAGTATCCACTCTGCCTGGTTAGCCTCTACATTGAAATGCTACGAAGAAGGAGCATTGGCCGAAACGTCGCCCATTATTTATTTTAACGCAGTGTTGATCGCGGACGTGTCGAGGGCTGTTTTTGTTTGTTTGTTTGTCGGATCAAAGGCTGTGGAGCCGCTGGTCTCGGCGCGGCTTTCACACCTTCTCGTGATGACTCACGCACACACACATCTACAAGACATTGAGACCACGAGTCTCATGTTCAAGGATAGATATTCATCATCTCTTATCCATTGTCTATCTACTTCTGGATGACGACTTCCCCGCTACGTCGCCGTCCCACACAGCCCTGTCCATATTTAAGCATACGATGTAATGATTATTGCAGGAACGTGATTTATTATTATTCCATCGCCTTGCTTGATTTGCCATAGCTGCTCAAATGGCATGGCTAATTAGGATCCGTGAATGAGCACACACTCATGGAGTGATGTTATGAGTGGCAGCTTGCCCGCGTTCATCCCCCCACTGAAGCGTCTTTCCCATCGTACAAGCAGAACCATCGCTTAGCAGGGACATCACACGTTGCGCTCCCATCGCATACCACATGTGGCTGCATCCACCAGCTTTTTGGCCCGATAATCGACCCCTGTGAAGGTGGCCAACCCCGGCACGCGCTCCCTCGCCTTCTTCTCGTTCTCTATTGTTGCCACTTCCATTCTGAACTTCGAGGTTGCTGACCGCGGTGCTGCCAGTACACTCCGAGCATTCTCCCGCATGTACCTGCGCTAGGTTATTGTTTACAAAAGCGCTGCGACAATGGACTTTAAATACCGCGCGGCATTCGATACGAGATGGGTTCAAAGTGCGTCTCGTGTCACGCGTCCTGAATGGAAAGTAAAATAATGTCTCAATAAAATGTAACAACTGAAAAAACTGGGATTTCAAAATGTTACTTGCAAAAGAGGCAAATTATCTCTGTGGGCTCTGAATTGGTTAGCGAGAGGGTTCATTGATGATGAAGCCATACCAGCGCACTACCAGGTAATCCCTTCATGAATAACACCCTCTCCAAATAGCCTGCCGCGTATCTTTGCAGACTGCTGCGGCATGCGCTGCGAGCGAGTGAGGCCATCAGGTGAAGTCAGTAATCCACAAGGCCGCGCGTCTTTGTATCCCCGCTGTTGCTGTTGACCACAACCCCACCAGTAACTCAATTTAGGTTGAATCAACCTTTGGGGAGGTCCCAGCCAGTTGTTGCTGAGTTCGTTCCATTCGCCACCCATGGTGTGCGTGGTCATAAAATCTGACTCATGCCTCAGGTGTTGCAGTGCAATGCACCGACTATAACTCCACAAGCCCACACATGCACACACAAACAGACTTACCCTCTACAACATATATGGGAAGAGTCGACCAAATACGCTCCAGAGTTCGCTCCGCCCTTCCACCAGCAGTGTCTTGAGCAAGTAACTTGCAGGGCCGCACCATTGCCGCGTTTGCATACAACACGCGCGGACGAGCAGCAGCTTACAGGAGGAGGTGATGTGCTGTTGGCGGTGCTGGCGGGCTCGGAGTGTGACTCGAGGCGGGGAGGGCAACACAGAGACAGACTGAGAGGGGAGACGCGTGTCCCCGCTCCTCCAGGACGCTCGGCGCGACCGTCGCTCGCGGGAGGAGGAGGAGGAGGAGGGCGACGATGGCGATGATGCTGGAGGGAGCTCTGCTGGACGTCGCCTCGCTGCTCGCGTCGCTGGCGGCCGGGCTGGGCTCGGCGCTGCTCCTGCTGCTCGTGTCGCAGCGACTCTGGGCGATGCGGTGGGCGGCCACGCGCGACCCCAGCTGCAAGTTGCCGCTGCCGGGTGGCTCCATGGGGCTGCCGCTCATCGGCGAATCTCTGCACTGGATGGTCCAGGTACACAGAGCCCCCCCCCCCCCCCGACTCTCCGCGCGTGTCTGTGCCCGCCCCGTGCGCTCGTGGTGCTCGCCACCCACCCCCTCGTGGCGGTCTTCATCGGTGCTGCTGCTCGCGATCGGCACTTGCCGCAGCAGTCGGCGGCAGGCTGCACGGGGGATCTGTGTCCATTGCTGTGAGTACGATGGGGAGCACACGGCTGGCGCGTCTCTCAGTCTGTTCCTCGTGCCAGCAGCGACACTTCACGTGGACTCAGCGTGCACCTAGCCTGGCACCACGTACTGCGGTCACGGCAACGTGCACCTAGCCTGGCACCACGCGCTGCGGTCACGGCAACGTGCACCTAGCCTGGCACCACGCGCTGCGGTCACGGCAACGTGCACCTAGCCTGGCACCACGTGCTGCGGTCACGGCAACGTGCACCTAGCCTGGCACCACGTGCTGCGGCAACACCAACGTGCACCTAGCCTGGCACCACGCGCTGCGGTCACGGCAACGTGCACCTAGCCTGGCACCACGCGCTGCGGCCACGCCAACGTGCACCTAGCCTGGCACCACGCCGCCACGGTGGCGCGACGGTCCGCACCCCGAACTTGCAACCCAGAGTCCCATCCCCCCCACACCCAGCAGTGCGAATGTGCGCAGCAGTCTGTCAGAGCGCGTGTGGAGGGGTGCAGTGTGGTGGGGTGAAGTGTCGAACGCCCGCTGGTAGGTCACGGGGCAGACCCAGGTGCCACGGGTCGACTGACTGAGATGACTGGCTGATGCACCACCTGTGCCCCCTACTGTGCCAACTTGCTGTGCTTTATCCACCCGGCGCTCCGCTCGTTGTTGTGAGCTTCGCTCCTCCGCCCTCCGTTGTTGTTGGAGGGCGACTGCCTTCAACTGCCCAGTAGCATCCTTCACGAGCCTCCTCCACAGAGGCCGATCTTGACACCGCTGGTACCAGTCATCGGCAAGTCCACTCAGCTCCACGTCCTCCTGTACCACATCACTCCATCTCTTCTCTAGCCCGTGCCGCGTCCGTTTAGCCCCCTCGATCCGGCCGAACAAAAGCTGTTTCGGCATGCAATGGCTGGGCATGCGGGGTACATGACCCAGCCAACGCAGCCTTGCCTGCCGGAGGTGCTCACCGATGGGACTTTGTCCAGATCTTTCGAGGATTTGTGAGCTCCGCACACAATCCAGCCTGGTTAAACCCAGGATGGATCGTAGGCAGGCCAGCCTAAATGTTTCTAACCGGCGAAGATGTTCCATTAGGGGGGTCCACGTTTCGCAAGCGTAGAGAAGGGAGGGAATGACTGTGGCCGAGAAGACCCGAAGCTTCGTGCGGTAAAAACTGCACACCCCCCTCCCCCCAGCGAGTAGTATGATGAGGCTCGATTCGTCTTAACATTCGCAATTGGCTGAACAAATTAACGTAGACCCAGTCATTCCCTTTCACGAACAAAAAGATGATCATGATTGTGCCAAGATTAATATTAGAAAGCGAATGAAATGACGCCAGCTTCTGGCGCACAACGACCTGCCCTGGTTAATAACGACTTGTCCTGGTTAATAACGACTTGTCCTGGTTAATAACGACCTGTCCTGGTTAATAACGACTTGCCCTGGTTAATAACGACTTGACCTGGTTAATAACGACTTGTCCTGGTTAATAACGACCTGTCCTGGTTGATAACGACCTGCCCTGGTTGATAACGACTTGCCCTGGTTGATAACGGCGTTACGCGATTCTACTTTCGTGACGCTTGCTCGGCAGTTGAGGACAACTTCTAAAAGCGTCGCTTGCAAACTGAAACCCCAAGTGTTGCGTGCTCGCTAGGCCATGCAGATGCTTTAGGATTTGTAAAGATGGAGTGCTCACTGCTTGCTAATAACAGCCAATCATCCCACTTACTGGGCCGATGGAAGTATATACATTTTGATTCTTAAATTGTGGCGAATTATTGTGCTCGTGGCACACGTGTGATACGTGATGAATTGTACTCGACCCACCCCGTACGAGAAACGTCACAGTTCAGGCCCCCTCCGATAAGACTCCACCTGACGTCTCCCTCCATGCCCACGTCGGCCCAATCTGACACGTCGTCGTCGTCGTCGTCACAGCAGCAGCAGCAGCGTCGTCGTTCATCCGCTCCCACGAACTCACCTCCACCGAGCGGTTCCGTGGCAATGATTGTCGACTTCACCGCTGCTGTTACCAGAGCGAGTCTGTACACAGCGCACCGTCACCACAACCACTTCCACCACTTTATTCACACAATCGCAGGAGACGGAGGAGGCACAGAACAATCTACTTAGCTGGGCGGTGGCGGGCATGCACGTGGCTTGGAATCCAGCACTGTGGAGGCGAGGGTTAGTGGATCACGTAAACCATTCCTGTGAAACGACTTTCCCGTGGGCGTCAAGGTGCCATACCCTTGTCTTGCCAAGGGACGGCAGTACAGCAAATGTCTGAACTCCATCTGTTCCATCTGTATGGGATACAGGGTTGCCCCCTCGCACGCGTGAGTTGCTCCAGGTGCTCCGGTTTCTTCCCGCACGTATAAAGACGCGTTAATTGGCTGAAAACATCTGAACATATAGAGGACTGCAGAGCTTGGGCAACTGTTGGGGCCGCCTCCTCACCGCGTGGCTGCCTTCCTGCTTGTGGGTGGTTCCTCCTCGCGCCTCTGAGTCGTTCTCTCTCGTTAAGAGGCAGTGAGTGCTGTGAGCATTACCAGTTGAGATTATTATATTATCATTACGACAGTACTGATTTTAATGTCACGTGTATATCTGTACTGAATATTATCTCGGTGTTCTTGAGAGAGAGGAGCGAGCGTGTGTTCTCAACGGACGTACAACTTGCTTTCAGTAAAAACCTTCACGATATATTTAAAACAACAACAGCTTTAATAATCTAACGAATCTGACTACCCGCAACGTTCCCCTTGCCAGAGGGCAGTGGTAATGGCCCGGGACGTTGCGTTTGATGTTTATTCTTGCACTTCACGGCACAGTCCCTTACATTTTATCGTTTTCGAAAATCTGACCATATTTACAGATTGCGCAACAACATTCATGAGGATTGCTGTGGAGATTGTAAATCACAAAACAGATCAGCAGACAATGACCACTTTCTATATCTGCTTCTCTGTTGTGTTATTTATAGTCTGATAATTATTACATTAGTCATAATGTTTGCGATCAACCCGGACCCATACCTTAAAGAGAGTTTCACGCCTATCACAAGTGGCAGTTCAGGTGAGAGCCTGATGAGACACCACGCGTCATCACCGATGAAGAGTTGATTCAACTGAATCAATGTTGCTGAAAGCATTCACTCCCAGAAAGCTGTGGGGCCGATGGGTCTTATCTATTTAATATTTTATACATGGCTCGCTAATTATTCATTCCTCGAATGGTGCGCGTTTAGTCTCTGGTGGTGGTGTAACTATTTCTTTTTTTCAAAATACCGCGACACGAACATTCTGCAAAACGCCCAACAGGGGCTTCCTACCACACGTGGCCACGGACTGTTACTTCTCCTTGTGGTTCAGCACAATGCATTTGCCCAACAAGCGGCGACGTCAATCGGTGACTCTCTCTATTTACAATGACATTAAAAATACCAGAATGCCTGGGGAGGGAATCGAACTGTGATGGCAGAGCTCAGCGGCGTGTTCGATGGCCACTGAGGCTGTCCAATCACCGCGTCGGCTCAGGTCACAACTGCGAGGTGATATGCATCATGGTAAGAAGGGCATGCTTATCAAATAAGCAAAATAAATATACCGTCTGGATGTGTACAGGGCTAGTGCGCTTGTTATTACCTCAATAATTTCATGGGCATTTGATTCCTCTGCCATACATGAATTGTGAATTTAAAGAATCGGTGAAATGTTAACCGGTAGATTATGGACAGAGGTGGACGCGTTGAACTGCGAGCGACACACGCCGTGGACATGATTGTCAACATTTCCTCTTGGTTCTCAACATTCCTCCGGCAAATCAATGGGCACATTCTACCAAGCGACAACTTGATTTGATTGGCTCTGTCGGGCAGTGGAGGGTTATCGTTAAATAAATGGCGTTAGACCGAAACGATTAAACATAGAATACGAAACGATGATCTAACCCTAAACAACGCGAATTGACCGACAAGCAAAGGAGGCGGCTACCCACCCAGGGACATCACAGGAGAAGGAGCGACCTCCCGTGGACTTGAGTGTGCCCATCACGCGAGTCAGTACGGAACTTCTACACGCAACAGCAGCAGCAGCGAGCTTCGCTTGGAATGTCTAAGAGGGTAATCGATGTGAGAGTGAAGGTAAGACCTAGCAGGCGACTTGGAGTTTCAAGTTTTATTTATTAGGTATAGCCCTGTGAGCCATTCGGCTCTTGAATCGGGTGCAACCGCAACAAACAAAAAAACTAAAATATGAACAAGAAAACATCTTAAATTGACTATGTGCAAACAGAAAATCCAAGAAAAGACAGCAAAACAGTTGGGGTTGGTGGGTCACGGAGAGTTGGGAGGGGGGTGGGCGAGTATGTGCGCGAGACAGCAATTTGTAGTGCAACTTAAAATGTTGTCTGTAGGAGGAAACACAGCCAGCAGGCAGCAGGTTTCTTATCCATCTGTACGGAATGTGGTTACATTGATGTTGACACACGCATAACGTGACTGAAAAATAGCAATTAAAGTGAGCACCTTTTTTTCCTGGGTAAAAATTCAAATCTTTGATATTACTGTTTCTATATCTTATCACGACTGCATGTTTGGTGAGAAGTTAGAAAATCCGAGCTCGATTAGAGTGGGCCCTGCCGACTTTATTAACGAACATCTTGTACTTAATCAAGTTGAGGGCCGATTGCAACGAATGTGATATTTATTTTAAATCGGATTACTCATAATAAAGTCGGTGCAGCTATACTTACAAAGTAGGTGTTCGCAGCAAAGTGTTTGTTTTGGGGTTAGGCCACACGATAGTTTTAATGCTTAAACTATTGTCGTCAACCCTCCACCACCCGCCAAGATTGCCTCGTCTACAAAGGTCTTGTGTTAACGTGCCGATATGGTGATCACATTCTGACCGAGCCCAGCAGCGGTTTAAAGACTCGTCGTGACTGATTTCAACAACGAATGAGCGCCACGTGTACGCGCACGAATAGACGCATCCTTCTCGGACAATGTGTTAGGAATGATCGCTCGCAATGCAGACATCTTATTATAGGCACGGGCTTCACCTGCGCTTACTTAGTCGAGAAGCTGAGTCAATCAGTAGTGTAAGTACGAGTCTAAATCCCGACTTGGCTCATCATCTCTCAACATACAATCATCACCATCCCCTAGATTTGAAGCTTTCGTGACTGCAAGGATTCATACTCTTAGGTTTTTTCGGTAAAGTCACGTAGGTAAAAAATAAATAAAAACAATAGAAATAATAATAGAAATAAAATAATAAATCACGACGTTTCGGAGGCAACACAAGTCTCCGTCATCTGTTGTTCAGCTGTGACGGTCCCCCCTGATGACGGAGACCTGTGTTGCCTCCGAAACGTCGTGATTTATTATTTTATTTCTATTATTATTTCTATTATTTATTATTATTATTATTTTTTCCCCTACTTGACTTTACCGAAAAAAACTAAGAGTATCACCATCCCCCTCCGTGACTGGTACATTAAGTATCGTGGTCCCATGGAGATGGCCTCGTTTCCGCCACAAAATCGCGGATGTGTCGCGACCTGTCTCCAGGAACCACAAGGAAGATGAGCAATGCCCTTTGAATCGCATTAACGCGGTAAGGAAGGAGGTCGCTCATCTCCCGGGCTGGTCCCGTGGGCTGCAGCCGCCTTGCCACTGCTCTCGGCGGCGTGCACTGCCCCGGCGCTCTCCAAGCTCCGTCCAGCCTCCACACCTCCATTCTTCCCTCTTCTATAAACATCTCGTCAACACAGAATAATGCCAGACGCCCTGTGTTCTACAAAGCGCCTTGAGACTTGAGATACGGTCGCCGACCAAACGTTCCACGATTCAAAAGCGAATGTGTGGCGTGTGTAGTAAATAGTGAGCGTGTGACCGGCTGGGAAGGGTTGTGAATGGAAGCGGGGGGGGGGGGGGCAAGGGGAATAGTTGTGGGTGGCGCGGGTTGTACGGTGGGGGGGGGGGGGGGTCACGCGCGGTCACGCGCGCGAGGTGCTCGTCAGGGGGCGCTGCGCCTGAGAGCGCGCGCGGCGAAAGGGCCGCGTGGGAGCGCGGTGGTGGGCACGAGGAAGCGGCGGTTCCGAGTCGACAACGAAGTTGACCCCCACCCCCCTGACCCGCGGACGCCGGGTTCGGTACCGGACTACGGCAGCAGGCTTCACTCCGCCTTGTTTCGTGGGAGATTGAATGTCATTGTCGAGATTTATTTTTTATCGCGAATCGATTGAGCGGGGGTTTATTTCCTGTCTTTTGTTAAGCGGCTTGAATTTAGAGGACTTTCTGTGTCACCTCTCCAATGACGTGTCATCATCTCCAGACACGTGTCATCTCCAAGCACGTGTCATCTCCACGCTTTGGCGAGCGTTTCAGGATTTACTTTTGCTACTAGGATAATCCGGCACTGTCCAATTTGTGCTCCAATTAAAGTAAGTCTTTCACCTGAATATTATTTTCAATCATAGGGAATGTACCCCCCCCCCCCACCACAATATATAGTATCTTTGAATTGTATTATTACATTTTCAGGGTACAGCATTGCGAGAAGAGTATGGAAATGACAGCCCCATCGTATTCTCCATCGCACGGCAACGTGGTCTCTGCTAGTTACCATCATGATAACACTTCTCATTATTATTATTAAGCTTTAGTTCGCGTGTGTTGAACTTCATTTCGCACCGTACGTAGCCAATCGTACTAATCAGAGGTGCGTGTTGTGTGTGTTGTGTGTGCGTGTTGTGTGTGTGCGTGCTGTGTGTGTGTGCGTGCGTGACTGCGCAGGGTCCCGGCTTCCACGCGTCTCGGCGCGCGCGTCACGGCAACGTCTTCAAGACGCACCTGCTGGGCCGGCCCGTGGTGCGCGTGACGGGCGCGCAGCACGTGCGCCGCATCCTCATGGGCGAGCACGCGCTCGTGAGCGCCTGCTGGCCCGCGAGCACGCGCATGCTGCTGGGCAGCAACACGCTCATCAACTCGGTGGGAGAGGCGCACCGCACGCGTCGCAAGGTGCGTGGGCGCGGTGGGGGGAGGCGCGCACCCACCCACACACCACCACCACCCACACACCCACCACCACCCACACACCCACCACCACCCACACACCCATCACCCACCCACCGTCGCGCCACCGCTCCCCCACGCAGCACCCCGTGCTGACACACGCACACACGCGCACACACACACGCGCACACACACGCACGCGCACACACGCACACACAAGCACACACGCACGCACACGCACACACGCACGCACACACGCGCACACACACGCGCGCGTTGTCGCTTCGCCACCCGTCGTCCCACCGCCGCGCACTGCTCCTTGCCAATCCCGGCTCTCCCTCTTCCCGCCACGCGAGGCAGGTGCTCACCAAGGTGTTCAGCCGCGCCGCCCTGGAGAGCTACGCGCCGGGGGTGGCGCGCGTGGTGCGCGCCGCGGTGCGCGAGTGGCGCGCGCGCGCCGGCGCCGAGGTGCGGGTCTACCCGGCGTG